GAGGTTATGTAGGAAGTTAGGGTCCACGTGGAGATTTACCCAGAACTCCTAACTCCCAGGGGGCTATGTAAAAATATTAATAGCTAATATTTATTGAGTGTTTAACCATATTCCAGGAAGTATACTAAGGACTTGAGATACATTAGCTCATTTAGTCTTCGCCACAGTCCAATGAGGGTTTATAGTTCTCCTTTATAGATGAGGAAATTAAGGCTCAGGGAGGATTTAGGTGACGTGTCCACGGTTGTGTTTCCCAACGGGTGAGTGGTGGGAACAGCCAAGAGGTCTGTCTCCAGAGTTCGTAACCATGGTTACCTCGCCTCCTGGTGCAATCACGACTATGACAGATCCAGGATGGTTTTTTCACTGAGGCACCATTCAGAAATACACAAAGCGGTGTAAATTGTGCTTGTTTTAAATCTTGTCCAGGCTAGCTAGGATCGCACGGAATATCATTTCGTGGGGTCGAGGTAGCCCGAGAAGTAAGTAAACAGAGCCTGATTTCATGGGAACACGAGCAGAATCTATTCAGATTTCTTCATCGCTATATATTTATTTATCACTCATGAGCAGTTAGGTCATGACCTTTATCCAGGTCACGGGCATCTCTGTTCCACTCCACTTTAAGGTTATTTCTATCACAGAAGCAAAAGGGGACAGTTTAGAGCGGGTGGTGAGTCCCGATCTTAATACCTGTCTAATTCCTTCCGGCTAATCTGAAAGAGACACCTCGAGCAAACCAAGTTACATATAGAGATCTAGATTTATCTTTTTATTTTTAAATAAGTGGCTATCAAAGTTGAGCCCAGGGATTCTTTCAAGAAAACCTCATAGGGAACTCCTGGAGAATCACCGATTGCTCCAAAATTTAAAACACTAACTCAAAAGAAAAGGAAACTAACTTCCTTCCTTAACCATCTTCATTTTATTTTTATTTATTTATTTATTGGTGGGGGGGGCGTTAACTCGGTTTATTTGTGTATTTATTTTTGAATGGAAGTACTGGAGATTGAACCCAGGACCTCGTGCGTGCTAAGCACGCGCTCTACCATGGAGCTCTCCCCTCCCCGTTAACCACCTTCATTTTGGAAACTGGCCATTGCTTACTTCCTGCTCGCCCCTTGTCCAGGACGGGGATGTGGGACTGCAAGGCAGAAGGGTCTGCCGCCCGCCTCTTGTAGGTCTTGGTGACTTTATCCACGTCAGGCTGTTTCCTGGTCATTTCCTCCATGAAGGCCTGACAGGAAAGACACGGGGTCAGTCAGATGCCGCTACACCAGAGGAAAGCATCTCTAGAAATGCACTAAAAACAAAAGGATAAAAGGACTGCACTGTCATTTCTGAATAAAAGAATAAAACAGCATGTTTCATCTAGAGGGGAAAAAACCTAACCACCATCATACAGCCTGTACTCATTTCTGAAGACTGCAGAAGGTGTCAGGTGGCCAGGAGCATTAACAGAGCGATTTGCTCTAGTCTGAAGACCACTCACAGGGTGCAGCAGTGGGCATACCGCCACCTGTCTGTGCACCAGCCAGGACCGAGCTTCCAGGCTCTCCCCGAAGCACCTCGGAGTGAGCATCTGTCTGCAAAGGGGCGAGTCAGCGGGGGTGTCCCTAGGAGTTTCCCGTGGCACAGCTCACCCACGTGTCTGAAATGTTCATCAAGGCGTTGACAGATGGGGACATCCAGCATCCACTTAAATGTGGATGCACCTCCAGTGTTCCTGTCCATACAGATGCTCTGCCCAGGAGCGTCAATGCCATTCAGGTTAATTAACTTATCTTGCCCTGGATCTCACCTCCCGAGGCTTACTATCACAGTTCACTGGGTACCGGTGTGTCTAGAACACATGGCCGAGGCGGTGGCTTAGGTGACAAGTGATGGGGAAAGGAGGAGGGGGACACAAGTGAGAAGTGAAGTAACACATGGCTGGAACGCCCGTTCCCCTGGAGCATGCTGATCACTCTCACGTATCGGGTGACAGAGAACACAGCCCAGACCCTCCGGGGCCGTCACGGGCACCCATAACTTACGCTTCTATTACAACGCGGACAGCAGTGCCGACTGCTGTGCCAACCAAGCTGACGCTTAATGGTTCTCCCTGTAAATGCACAGTAAACAAACTAACAAGCAGACAGGTGAGTCAGGGTGACGCCCATCATTTCAGAGTTGAAAACAGGTAGGACACATAAGAGAAGTCTTTTTTTTTTGGAGCAAGACAATGTGTCCCCTTGGACATGGGATGTGATGTATCTGAACTGCTGACGGTCCTCTCGGGAGATGTTAGCAGCAGAGCACAGAAGATGCAAACAAGGGACAGCAAGCGAGGGAGGGCGAGGTCACCGAGAGAGCAGAAATGAAAGGCGTGGAACCGAGGGGGAAGAGGCAGCGAAAAGCAGGAGGTGGGCTGGGAGCCCCTGAGACCCGGGCCCGACTCCACAGGGGCCAGAAGGGAGGAGCGAGGGCCAGTCACACAGGGACAGGAGACACTGTCGAGACCAGGAGACAGACGAGAGGTTGTTCGGGGCGGTGATGGGACCAGAAACGCAGAGGAAGGAGTGGAGGAGCAGGTCTGCGGCCGGGAAGGGAAGATGCGCAGAGCCGTCTTCTGAGAAGACGGGGTCCGGGGAGCTGGGGGCGGACGATGGCTGCCCACCTGGTGCTCGGCGATGAGGGCCTTCACCTCCTCCATCTCCTGCGGGATGGGCTCCTTGTCCTTCTCACTCAGGGTCGTCTCCGCCCACTGCAGCCAGGCCAGCAGGGCTTCCAGCAGCTCCTGTTTGGCGATGAGCCCGGCCAGCGCGCTGGCCAACCTCTGCTGGTGCTGCTTCGCCCAGGCCAGCACCTGGTGGGGAGACAGAAACTTCTCTGCGTGTCTTCCATCTTAACCGATGTAAAGGACACACAATTGAAATGTCAACTGGGGTCATCCCTGGCTAGACGCACAATTCCAGTCTTTCTATTTTTTTTTCCCCAAATTGAAGTATAGTTGGTTTACAATGTCGTTAATTCCTGGTGTACATACAGCATAGCGATTCAATTAGACAACACGTATGTAAATATTCCTTTTCAGATTCCTTTTCATTACAAGCCATTACAAGGTACTGAATGCAGTTCCCTGTGCTCTACAGTAGGACCTTGTTGTTTAATTCCCATCAGTGGCACCAAGGACCAGCCTGTGGAGGATACAGGAGCCCCCTGTGATGCTAGGAGGTGGGAGGGGGTCACCCTTGGGAGCTTAGAGATGCCCTTTGCCTTCTAATTTAAGTTCAGATAACACATCCCCTGAAGGATCAAGGATGGTCACTCCATGTAGCAAGGAATGGAAATAAAAATAGCTAAGATCTGAGATACAGGATGAATTCACCTATATGTGCAATTCATTCCATGAGCCTATGCTGCTCTGAGAAACCTACTCAACGGACACGACAGGGAAGTGGGACAGACATTTTGAAAGGGAGCCAAATGCTGGCCTTTTCTTGTTTCAGGGACATAGCTGCAAAACGCCTTTAACTTTTTAAAGCAAAGGGGATTGCAGAGACAGGGGATGCAAACTGGAACAGTCTCGTGAGGAACATTTCCCTCTCCAGGGGCCTCCTGTTACTCCAAGGCCATAAATGCATCGTTAACTGCTCAAGATTCCATGCCCCTCCACCGTGCCCATGACTCTCAAAGCCAGCGCCGCTGGAAAGAGGCCCCAGGACACACTGACCTCCTCGAACCTGGCCCGGATGATGGTCATCCAGTGCTTGATGGTGGTGATGGAGTCCGGGTGGCAGAGGGCCAGGAGAGCGTCCCCCATGCTGGTGGCTTTATTGAGGGCAGCTCGCTTCTCCTCCAGCCTCTTCATGAATTCCTAGAGCAGAAACAAAGGCATGACTCAGCTGTGGGCACGGGCTGCAAACCGAAAGCCGGTGACATCCAACTGGACTGCCAGAGTTCAACCAACACACAAGAGCTTCGATCGGTTTATTCCCAGCTGGAAAGCATCCTCTAAGTGAGGAATTCAGGGAGGAAAAGGGACAAAAATTGCATAAAGTGCCTTCTCACAGGATTTCAAAACACAAGTGTGGGATAATCTCTCTGTCACGTACCTCCTAGTCTGGCTTTTTGCACAGATGAAACGATTTGTTTACACACACAGCTGCTAGGTGCTCTAGTCCTCAAGATCCCAAGACTGTGTCTTATTCAATTTTGCATAATAAATGCTTTTTAACCGTCTCCTTCTGCATCTTTGCTGTTGCAGGGTCCAGGTTCAGTGCCTCCGCTTACATGACCTACTTTAAAAAATCTTTCCATTCTTCCCAATAGAGGCCCCCGTTAAGTGAAAGGAAAAAAAAACAACTAACAGGGAGATTGGAAACCAGAGGTTGATACCAGCTGTGCTTCGCCAAAGGCCAGCTGACCCCATCGTGCACTGATCACTCCCACACCAGGAGCCTGCATCCCTGCCGGAGCTCTAGGGACTGGGTACCAACTTCCCCCTGCATCCCGGCCTCTTCCAGGATGAGTGCCGCCTCCGTGGTTTGTGCTCGCGTGGGAAAGCGCGCCATTGCTGCAAACTGGATTATTCTGAGACATCTCTAGTCTTGTGACTAAGAAATTAAATATTCCGTTTTCCTTCTACTGGTGAATATGTGAAGGGAGGCAGAGGACATGAAGAAGCACACATGATACTACTGCAAAATGTGATGATTACAAAGAAGCCCTTCCTATAACTGCAGGTAATTTCTACACTATTTAAAAACATTTAGAGATAAGTGGTTGTTAAAACTCCTACCCCCGCTCTGGATACCTGCCCCCTGCTATTTCTGGGGGGTTCCTGGCCCTGCTGGGAGGGTGCTGATACCACAGGTGGGCTCCGTTCTATAGGGCACACGTGCAACCCTGGGCTTCGAGGGGCTCTTGGAGACCCAAACCCAAATACATTCATGGAACTCAGTGCTGGTGATGGGCAGCCTATGGTAACATAATACAAACCAGATTTTCAAAATACTGAACTGAGTCAAACATTTACATAAATTTGATGCAATTCTCCTACTCTTACAGTCTACCTTCAACTTTTTAAAACCTGTTTCCTCTTAAGTTACTTACTTATTTATTTTCCATTAAAACTAGTGGTCATCTATCATTCATTTTTAGAATCTCTCTTTTTTTTAAATTGGCAGCACTGCGGATTGAACCCAGGACCTCATGCATGCGAGGCATGTGCCCTACCACTGGGCTCTACCCCCACCGCCTAGCTTCAGCTTTAAAAGGAGTACGGATCATTTGGCCCCTCCAGATAACGTTATACAAACTTGCATCCCTTTTATTAATACTCCATTTTATGAATGCTCCATTGCTACAAGTTAGGTAACCCATCGTGGAGAGAGCATGGTGACTTAAAATAAGAAGTCTTGGCAGACGATGTCATCCGTGCCACCCTGGAATTAATGATGCACGTCCAACTTGACCCTGAAAGACGAGGTTATTCAGTGGTGTTAAACAGATCCTTTCAAGCTAGCAGGAAAAGCTGACATCAATACTACACTGAGGATTAGCATTGCAAATTCCTGACTTTGACTCTTTGACTCCCGACTCTTTCCTCTGACTCTTCAAAGGTTTAAAAAAAAATCTGTTAAGAGCTATCTGAGAGGAGGAATACAGCTCAAGTGGTAGAGAGCATGCTTAGCATGCACAAGGTCACAAGGTCCTGGATTCAATTCCCAGCACCTCCTCTAAATAAATAAACCTAATTACCACCCCCCCACCAAAAAAAAAAAACTGAAAAGAGCTATCTGGACCACTCTCTTTAGGGTTTTGCTAGTTCTGTCTCGTCAGGAAAAATCTTGACCTGAAAACTCAGTGGCCAGATTTTCACTTGGTTAATTGTATCAACTTACATAACGCAACCCCCCCCCTTTTTTTTTACATAACCCATTTTTAATTTATACTTTATACTATGGGTTACATCTCAAAAGAATTTAAAGTGGCTCGACTGAAAACACAATTGAAAGAGGCTTAGAAATAAAATTTGAAGACCAGTTATCAAACTACTTGCTTGTCTTGCTTACAAAGGTAACAATGATTAATTTACAATTTTAATGGTATAATTTTTATAAATGACACACTGCTTTGAAATGCACATACAAGTGCAACAAAATTGACCAGTTTTGGTCAGGAGCCAAATAACCCCCTAGAAAAATCCTAGAGATAGGAAACAGTGACTAATTTTAGAATAACTACCTTCTATAAAGAAAACATAAAAAGACAGCTATACATACTTGTGCACAGGGGCACTGGGACACATCTACGTAAGCAAAGAAGTCCTCAAATGTACAAGATCTTCCACTACTTCTCAGGAAGGAAAATGTCCACTCAGTTGATGTTTGCAATCACAAGCCCACTTTCTCTACTCTGTTTGGATTTCCCAGTTAGTTCTCCCGAGCACTTATGTGACTCACTTTATGCTGATCGATGAGCGTGCGCAGAGCATCCTCATCATCGGGGAGCGCGCCGTGGAAACGAAGGGTCTGCTCTGCTTCCGCCAGCCACTCCAGCAGGGCGTGTACCACTGAGTGAAATTCCTCTGCCTAACGGTTCACACACACCCGCCAAAAGAGATTCCCGAATATGGTTGTTAGTACGGTAGATTCTTCCTCTCAATGAAAAAAAAAAAGGTCTGAAATCTAAATTGGTTAATTATATGCGTCGTTCCCATTAAAGAGACAAGAGATACATGGTGCTGCATTTTACAAATGTCAGAAGACATCCAATACGTCAAAAAGAAAGAAAGCCTACATAGTTACAATGAAGAATAATTCAGCATTTTAAGAATCTGATTTTAGGTGAATGGCTGTGCATCATATATTCAAGCTGAAAAAAAATACTCAAACAGCACTTTCATGAGAAGATTAGAAAACTTCCCTCAGTGAGTTATTTAAATTCATCGTCAGGGAGGCGGGGGAGGCAGCCAGGCAATGATGCTCTAAGAACTTCCTCCTCCATGACCCATGCTGGTTGAGACGGAGGTGGGGGGAGCCCCGTGGTCCTTCAGGAGAGTGGCTCCTGTTGGGATGCAGGCCCCTCCTGAGCACCACCCAGCGGCCGGAACCCCAGGACTTCACCTGGCGCAGAGCTGCTTCTAGCCGAGTCTGCTTGGATACGGAGAGAGCACACACACTCTCCCAGCGCGTGCTCAGCTCCTGCATCTGGACCCGGACCCAGGAGGAGTCGTCCCGGCTGCCCTCCATGAGCTCCCGAGCCGAGCGCTTCAGCGCCTGCACGCTGCTCGTCCGCTTCCCCAGCTCCTTCTGGAAGGCCTAGGAAGATGGTGTTTTACAAAATTAATCTGAAATCAGCCCGAAGAGCAAAACATACCCTTTGAAATACACCTGTGCACATCACATTGCGTACCACTAAGATCTACAGTTGAATGACCCGTTTTCCACAGAACCGTCAGAAAATGAGACAAAGCATGCTTACTCCTGTTAAGAGCACCATCAAGACCAGTCTCGCATGAATCTGCTCGATCTTGTAGCAGTCTCCCGAATGAACTATGTTATGTTTCAGAATGACACGCTGGATTTAAATAATGGTGGTCACCTTTCTTTTGTTTGTTGTGTCTTTTGGTTTAATTTTTAAAAATTTTAAAAACTTAAGTATAATTGATTTAGTGTTGTGTTATTTTCAGGGGTACAGCAGAGTGATTCAGTTATACACACACACATATATATATTCCTTTTCATATTCTTTTTCATTATAGGCTATTACAAGATATTGAATATAGCTCCCTGTGCTGTACAGTAGGACCTTGCTGTTTATCTATTATTGTATATAGTAGTGTGCATCTGCAAACCCTGAACTCCCAATTTATTCCTCCCTTCCCTTCCCCCCTGGTAATCATAAGTTTGTTTTCTATGTCTGTGAGTCTATTTCTGGTTTGCAGATGAGTTCGTGTCATTTTTTTAGATGCCACATATAAGTGATTTCATATGGTATTTTTCTTTCTCTGTTTGACTTACTTCACTTAGAATGAGCATCTCCAGGTCCACCCATATTGCAGCAAATGGTATCATTTTATTCTTTTTTATGGCTGAGTAGTATTCCTTTTATAAATATACCACAACTTCTTTATCCAGTCATCTGCTAATGGACACTTAGTTTTCTTCCACATCTTGGCTATTGTAAATAGTGCTGCTATGAACATTGGGGTGCATGTATCTTTTCAAATTAGACTTCCCTCTGGATATAAGCCCAGGAGTGGGACTGCTGGATCATATGGTAACTCTATTTTTAGTGTTTTAAGTAATCGCCATACTGTTTTCCCTAATGGCTGCATGGTCGCCCTTCTTTATTTCAGTTCCACACAAAGCTGCATCATTCTTTCTATGATTCTTTATTATGGTGTCTCAATTCTTCCTGAATCACTAGTGTGCCTGCCCTGGGTGTGTGGGCCACCGTGCTGCTTTCTAGCTGTAAACACACCTAAGAGACTGACCAATAACTACGCAGCCCTTAGAGACCCCGGCACCAGGAAAAGAGCAACATTTTCTTCTATAACATGCCTTCATCTTGTCTTTCACAGCACCTTGAGCACTAACCCACGATGTCAAATGTTAGAAGCTTGAATCCTTGTCTGTCACCTCGGAAGGAAAAGCTTTTTATTCTTCTCTCCCACTCAATTTTGATGAGCTTTGGTGTGCCAGGAGTTTAAAAATAGCTTCTTCTGGCCATTTCTGACCCAAGAGTCTATCTAGGCAACCAGATCTTTCACATAACCCAACTTTATAGATAAAATAAAATTAACATATTTTTCTAAGAAATCATCATAAATGAATATGACCAGGCACATTTCGTAGTTCTGGTTATATCTGGGGGTTTCTATTGTGATACTCGGATCATTCACAAAAGTAAGCCTGTCAAAAATAATGAAGTATAAAAAAATAATAATCCAAGAACGGTGTGAGGAATTCTTTGCTGATTTCATTCTGATAGTGTTAGGTGTGCCTGCAGACAGATACACAGATACACACACACACACGGACAGAAAGTACAGTGTCTAACTGCTCCATCTGCGACAGGACTAGCCCACCGTTCTGAGCAGACCTGCCAATGTGCTCTGCATACTCTAACTTCTTACTGGGCCATCCAATTGTATTACTAATGCCGAATGATTAATCCGTTTCTGTTGACCTCTCAAGACAAAAAAAAGAAAAACCTGGCACAAGTGCCTAGGGGAGTAAATATTTAGACAGTGAGCTTATAAAAACAGCATTTATGTAAAAAGTAACATTACATTTTCATTACTTATTGAATGAATGCCAGTGGGGGACTAAGTCTGTATTAATCATGCATAAAACATTTGTTCCAATATAGACAAAGCCACATAACTGAAAGTTTTTAAAATTTTTCTAGGCCTGATCAATGCTCTTCATTTATTATTTTTATTTTCTGTTAACGTTCCGACGTCACAAACTGTCTTCTCCTATGGACATGAGATAATGGACCCAGAAAAGGGGAGATAAATGTACAAAAAGACCAACTATTTTAAAAAGAACAGGTAAGATCGAAATAACAGACCCAAGGAAGTATAAAGAGACATCGTAAAACAGATTCTGTGAACTCAGAAATTATAGGGAAGCCATACATGAATTCATGCATTCAGTGCTATCAAGTGTCTGCACAGAAAGCCAACTCTGAAACCCCCTTTCCAGTCAGTACCAGGCCTCAGTTTTCAAGGTTCTTTAAATTGAAACACAGTGTTTGATCATAATTTAGGACCCTACACTCAGCATCAGTGGGACGTCTCAGTATCGCCTTTGATTTGCACACGAGTAGAACACACGTAGCAGGAGATGGCAGGGAAACCAGTTTTCTCGAGGTAATTAATAATCCAATAATGGCACGAACTGCTATCTCATACACGGCTACAGTTCAAGGGGCAAGGTTAACACTGGTTTTGGAAAAAATGAAGCAGCTAATCATGGCCCCCGTGGAGCATGTCACAAATCGGATGTTTAAGTGATGACCTGGTTCCAGGTCATGGGATGAATGATTTTAAATTATATTAATAATTATTTATATGAATAACAAGCGATAATAAAAATTATTTAAATGAATAAAAGATAGTAAAAATTATCTAAACGAGTAAGAAAAGGTAGTAAAACAGACAATGAAATCACTTTCCCAGCTCGGGAAAGGTGTTAGCCAGGGAAATTTAAAACCAAAGCATTTCAGTGATACCAAAGTGATCTCCCTGCCTCACTTTTATTTTTAAATTTTTTATATGTTGAAATTTTAATAACAGAGCGAACATGTTTTTTAACTGAAGTATAATCAGTTACAAGGTGTCAATTTCTGGTGTACAGCACAGTGTCCCAGTCATGCATATACATACATATATTCATTTTCGTATTCTTTTTCATTAAAGGTTATTACAAGATATTGAACAGATATTTACAGTTCCCTGTGCTATACAGAAGAAATTTGTTTTTTATCTTTTTTTAATATAAAGTGGTTAACATTCCTTCCTCACTTTTAAAGCTGGCTCCCAGGTTCTGCTCAAACATACACATATTTCCATATTAAAGACTGTTACATAGTATGGCTTATAGTCTCCACATTTTATAAGGCTAAATTAAGTGGTTACAGCCCCCCTACCCAGTTCAGAACAATCAAACGAGATAAAATTAAATGTCTGGATAACAATACCTTGTGATTGTCGATGAGGTTCATGACTAAGTCGATGTCCCCGTGGACAGGCTGGTCCTCGGCCAGCTGGGGTTCAACCCTGTACAGCCAGTCAATGAGGGCCTGCAGGGCGTCTGTGAATTGTCCAGAAAATAAGAGGGCCTCCTCCAGTTTGTTTTGTCTAGGGGGAAAAAAAAGAGGAAAAAGAAATCAATGTGAGCAATAAAAATGCCACCCTGTACATCAGAACACTTGAAATTCGTCTATGAAGGCTGAGCAGACCTCAAGCAGAAAAGCAGTATTTTCACTGCTGTTTCTCTGCTTTCCTTGGAAAACAACAAAACTTTCCTCAAGTTCCCTTTTCTCTTCCTTAAATACCCAGCATCTGCTCCAGGACAATTCCCTCATCATCACCTCTGGAAATCACGGGCCTTTCGGTTTCTTCATAAAAATTTGCCTGTTCAATTGAAAAATCTATAATTTATGTTTTAAATTATTATAAGGGTGTATATATAGTCCCACAGATTTTCACACATGTATGTATTCGTGTGACATCATCAAGATCGGGATACAGAACAGTCTGTCGCCCCCTGACGCCCCTCAGGCTGGCTCTGATGGTCACAGTCCGCTCCCACCTCTAATACCTGCCACTCGGGGACTTGTTCCTCATCACTGTGATTTTCAGTCTTTCCAAGACTGTCATACAAATTCTCATGAAATCACTTACGGGACATGGTAAAAAAGTACTGGAGAAGATTTTAAAGATTTTAAAAAATGAACACTATTAAAAAAAACAAACAAAAACTGCTTATAAAGCTCCCAAAACAGAGTCTCATATTCTGCTTAATCTTGATACTGATCAAAGTAATCAGACTAAGGGTCAAGGACAAGTTTGAAAACATTTAAGACAGTCGAACTTTTCTACTACTATTTTACGTTCTTAGTTGCTTAAAAAATTTTTTTTAAAGCTTCAGCTCTTCATAGTTGAAGTGTACTGAGGACAAGGGAGACTGGGGAAAGGTGGGAGGGGTCAGACTGGTGGGACCCTGGCGTATCCCAGTCCACACCCAAGAGTAGGTCCCTAAAGGGTACAGAGCAGGGGCGGGGGTTGGGTGGGGTGGACAACAAGATTCCAGGTATATTTTAAGACGACGGGCCTGGTGGTGATGTGGAAACAGGACTGAGGAGGGCGACAGCAGACCAGGACCCTGGTACCAGTCCAAAGGCAGGCGCTGGACTCGGGTCAGGGATGTCGGAGGCTGGGAGGAGGATGTCCTCTTCGAGTGAGCCAAGCACTTAAAAATGGATTAACAGACACACACTACTGTATATAAAATAGACAAACAACAAGAACCTACTGTAGAGCACGGGGACCTGTATTCAATTTCTTGTAATAACCTACAATGAAAAAGATCTGAAAAGAATATATATATATGTATGCGCATGTGTATGTATCACTGAATCACTCTGCTGCACACCTGAAACTAACACTGTAAATCAACAACACGTTGATAAGAAATAATAACGAACAGCAAAGACTTCTCGGTGTGGCCACCATGTGCATGGGGCATCGAGGATGAGCGGAAGTCCTCCAGCAAAGAAAGGAGAGAGTCTTCAAGGCCCCCACGCCTCCCCGCAAAGCACGGTGACCGTGGTGCTTGATGGGGTCTAGCAACGTGGGCGAGCGAGCAGCCCGCCGGCAGCGATGAGCGCCTCACCTTTCCACCGACTTCCCGCAGACCGTGTCCCACTTGTCCCTGAGCTCACTCAGCATGTCGTCCAGCTTCAGGTTGTCGTCGGCTAGGGAGGTCTTCTCCTTCAGAGAACGCCCGGTCCTGTTGGTGGTGTCGTAGACGGAGTGCTTGGCTCCCAGGGCTTTCTGGAACTCCTGCACATTCAACAAGAGGACAGCGTGCATTGCTACTCGGGACCGACACACAGAGAGCTCAGGGTCAGCGAAGGAGGCGTCCCTGGACACAGAAACGGAGTCCAAAGACGGGGGACATCGGCAGTAATCAAGTCGGGTGGTGCAGTGAGTCCTCTCCCCGGAAACACACCCGGGGAGAGAGGAGCCCCTGAACCTTCCATTGGAAGGATTAACTTTTTCCCGAAGCCCAGTGTCTGTAAGAACACCTCCTATTATTAAAAAAAAGAAAGAGAGAATTTCAAAGCAAAACGTATGCTGAAACTCTTGCAGATATAAACCGCAAACAGTATAAATAGTTAGATAAAATGGAAAATCATTGAAAAACCCAAGAGTTTGGAGAGGAAGCTGAAGCTAATTAATACTCTGAGTCAGGACGGGTCCAGTGTGGCCACAGGATGACCCAATAGTGTATAAATTTACTACACTTATTTTGTATTATCAAACAGATTTGTTGCCACACAATTTGGATTTTCACAAAGATGCTACATGTACTTTATCTGTGAGCCAGGATGGGAGGCAAAGAAAAGCCACATCTCTGGGCGCCTGTGTTTGGACCCGCTCATTCCACGCCCGCCTTGGGAAGGCCACGCCCCTCCTCCCCACACCCACCATGTCCTACCCGGGTCTCCCAAAGTCTCCAGACGACTTGCCACCATCCGACAGCCGCCTGGCTAATATGATATCTATACTCCGCAGTTTCTCCCAGGTTAGGGCACCTTTCATGTGTGGGAGGGGTGAATTACAACCTTTCTGTATAACTCAGTTATATGCTTTTATAAAGCAGGGGTATTAGCTTTGCTGTAGGACCCTTATAACCATCTTATGTTTTGTGGGTCTTTGTAAGGATTTAATAGAAAAAATAAGACAACTGCCATTAAATATATAACCTCAGTGATGAGATGAAAAGAGGCCAACTTAATGGGCAGCTTAAAAACTCATAAAATGACAAGGAAACACTCATACAGTGACTTTCAATCCTGGTATCACGTCAGAATCACCCCAGGCAGTAAAATGCTATGCAAATGTGTAATTTTCCATAATAACCTCGAGGTTACAATCACCTACTACATTTTATTTCCTTAAAAAAAGCTACACACTTAATAATGCATCTTAATAATACTACACAATTTATTTTTCTTGTAGTAGGAGGCAATTATATCTGGGAATTTGGGGGCAATAAACACCATTACAGTATCTCACTATTTCTGTAGTTTGTTTTCTGTAATGATTATTTTTTCACATTACCCTAAACAGAACACTAGCTTTAGAATCACAGTTTTGACCGAGATTTTATTCAGAGTAAATGTTATAGCTGAATACAGGATGGATGAAAACTTTTTCAAGACAAAAAAAGCACCCAAAGGATGAACTGAAAAGACCTCTTTTAAAAACCTGGCTTAATGGACCTTTTATCTTTATCTCAGAGAAATGGTGACTGGCAACAGGTCACACTAGGAAAAAAGATTTCATCAAATAGAGTTCCTCACACGTTTTTATTTCCAGGATTCTCTAACTGAAATAGGCAATAAGCTTCCCTAAGACCACATGACACATCATCTAAGTTCAAGTTCAAATAAGGTGCTCTATTTTGAGAAGGGGGCGGTGCTGATCTCAGCCCTCTGCTCTTGGCGCTGGACGCGGCAGCTCCCGGGCCGAGGAGCCAGCAGACAGGCCACTCGTCAGCCCTCATCCACCCGAGAAAGGCCCTCCCCGTGTCCCCCCTTCCACCTAGGATCACGACCCCCGAGGTCAGTCCTGCCCACCGGGGAAGCAACCAACCTGTGTGAAGACTGACAGCTAGAATTTTCTGACGGTGATAAACTCACATCACCCAATTTTCCCCCCGCCTTTTAAACATCATCATGTTTCAAGCAGTGATTTCTATGCAGGTGCCAAAAATCGTAAAACGGTCTACAGGAACCCCACATCCTTACCTACTGAGCACTTCACAAATAGAAAGAAAGACAGAAAGACCAAATTCAAAAGAGTTGGGAGAATGGGGGGGATGCTCTTTGAAAGGCAGGTGGTAGGAATTATATAAGGTAGAAAATACGGAAAACAATGTTTCTCTACCTTCTTGTCTACACGGGGAAGGCAGCGTCTTTGAGGGCAGGGATGGAATTTCATACACATACACGATGCCACTAATTTAGGAAGGGGCAAACCAACTTCCCCCACAGAACCGATGAAAGGAATCTCAATAGCAAAATATATACGACTTTTAGTGCAGAATTCTCTTTTGCGTGGCATTTCGTCTGTGAAAGAAATTATAAGACAAGACAGCGGTAAAGAACTGAAACGCCACCGTCTGGCCTCTGCAAATCCTTTGTGCATCTTAGATCGCAGAAGACTTCCGATTTTAATTTTGTATGTTTCCTTTTAACCATTAACCCAGGAATCAGAATGGAATGATCACCGGAGAGTAAAGATGCCACTGCCACTTGACCACAGGGCAGGGTAACTGGTTTTAAGTGTCGTATAGGTCCACGCTGGACAGCCTTTCTTCTCTAGCGACGAATGAACACACAATCAGGTCAGAATGTTAATTAGAAGTGACCTTGAGACCCACAATGACACAACGTCCTTTTCTTAATTGCAGACCCACCTTATGCTGTGCGAGTTGGGTTTTGATTTTGTCCGGGTCGTTGGCGATTTCCAGTTCAGAATCCAAAGACTTTTCCGACTCCTCCAGCCACTCCATCAGCTTACTCCACGCTTCGTGGAACTGTAAGAGAAATTCCCATCTTTGTCCAGAAGATGTGCAGGTACCCCCTGAAATGGCGTTCGAAATCTAGTACTTTTTTAAAACAGAAACTAGTATTAATAGAATTCTTAAAAATGATGAATTCAAAATTTTCCCCCAAGAAAAAGAAGGAGTATTTTCATCAGCAGATCACAACATGTCATGTTCACGCATGGCCCCTGTGGTCATGCCCACCATGGTCATTTTGTTGTTAACTCATTCAAAAATAGAAATGAACGTAAAAGACATTTAGGGAGCATCAGGCAGAATGACCTGCCCTTTCTTTTGCTTAATAAATAATAAAAACACTCCAAGAATTTTTTTTACTCCACTATTGTCTCCTGACAGATGTGGGTTTTACCTCAACAGTGTTTAATGCCTATGTTAAAAAAGAGTTATGGAAAAAGAAGGGGTAAGGATAAAGTTGTAAATTCATTTTAACAGAAAGAGGCCATCACATCCCTATTTAATGCAAAGCTCATTCAACCTCTTCCCTGCTGCCATCAAATCTTCAAATTAACGTCTGTGCCTTTAACACCATCAGTTTTATATGTTAAGAGCACCCACAATACTTGAGTTCTCACAAAACAGAATTATTCTCTTTTGCATCTATGACCCTGAAATATTCCGGTGCCATACAGATTTGATTTCAGCCGTGGTCGTTTCTCTATTAATCATAAATAGTACGGACTATTCTGGGACACCAAATTGGTTCTAAATTACTTCTTAAAGGGAATGGAAGTGAACAGATACACAACACAAACTTGAGTCATCCAACTGAAGTCTGTTTTATATCAAAGAACATTATTAATGAAATAAGAAGAAAGGCATTTAACAGTCAGCACAGTGGGAGCACAGGAGCACAGGGCTGGAAAGGTCCACGGGAGACCACGTCCCTACAGACTGGCGTCCCCCACGCATCCCCCCCACAACTCTGGTCCGCTCACACGTGACAGCAGGGAGGCCAGAGCAGGCACATAAACTGCCCGAGTCAGAGAACTACGGCCAACGTCTGAGCCAAACGCTGAGATACCAGCATACACAAAGGAAGAAAAGAAACAGCTAGTCATGGTGCCAGGTCGTCCTAGGACACTTAAAAAACCATCAGAGACCGATTCTACTCCAGAGACTCACTGACAACACTGAACACACCATGCCTCCCCCTCAAAGAGGGACATGGGACATGGGACATGTAACCCCATCACAGTGCGAGTGGTCATTTCTCAAGCCCTTAAACTTCTCACGCTGATAGCTTCCAACACTGAAACGCTGGACTCCCACGCCACCCTCCGCGTGGCCCACAGGAGCCTCACTCCCCAGACAATGGAGTCCAACACCAGTGACACACAAATGCAGCTGATCGGCGCAGGAAGAGTCATTATAAAATTCAGCCTCGAAATTATTACACAAAGCTCCTAATGAAAAAAAATCAAAGCTATATGCCAAGCAAGGTGGGTGCACACCCCTCCTCCCTGGAGTACAGAGATGCGAAATTTTACTTTTCCGTGTTTAGAGCAGGCCAGATACAGGAAGGAAGAAAAGCTCCTTATGCGATTCCCTAGGTTAAGGGAAAAAAAAGCAGCCCCCAGAGATTCAAACAATTAATTTAAAGGTGGGATGGAGCTGTATCCAAATCATAGAGAAGACATGAAGGTTTGCCCTCGAGTGTGCACATTTGAAGAGGGAAAGAGAACCAGCCCACTCAGACACAGCAGG